GCGGATGCGCAGCGCGGGGTTTGCCTGGGCTTCGTTGTGGGAAAAGGTGTGGGGGGGTAGGCCTGAGGGTGTGAGGGGGGTGTATTTCTGGAAGAAGTAGCGATTTTTGGGTGGGATGGGGTGAGCTGAGCCGAAAATAATAATAATAATACTAATAATTTTAAAATATTTGAAATAATTCCATAAGGATTTCGAGTTTATTTATGTCATCAGAAAGCTTCCTTCGCCATCACCCTCCCTGGAATGGCAGGATGTTACAGGATCAATGCAAAATACTCTCAGCTGTTGCCCGTCAGTCATTTCCCCCTAAGCCTGGCTTCAGATGTTTAAGAATCCCAGCTCTTTTTATGGCAAGAGCCTTCTGTCTTCCTTTCCAGGAGGGCTGATTCCGGCCGGTATTGTGAGCACACAGCAGAGCCCTGCTCTGGGAGCATTTAATCTCAGGCCCCTCTTTAGCTATTGTCCCTGCCCGCATACGCAGGGTGGTATTGCACATGTAATGTTACACTGGGGGGGTGTGTCTTTTTATATATATTTCTTTCCCCCCCACACCCCTGAATTTCCTGTGTGCAGCTGTGGATTTGGCTTGGAAGTCATGTGGTGGTTTTACAGTATGGAGAGGCAGTTGGTGTTTAAAGGATTGTAACCAGCTGACTTCAGGAGTTAGGGGTTTTTGGTTTTTTTCCAGCTGGCTGTCTATTAAAAGAGACAAATAGGAGATACTCTTATGAGGAAAGAATTTAATGGGGTAGGTTGTGTGCCCTTGCTAGGTAAACCTCTTAAATTTTTACCAAAATCAGTAGGTAATACATTTTGTAAATCAAGATGCATTTTTAGTTGCATTTAAAACACCACACAGAAACCTGCATCAGAATCATTTGCATTTAGAACAGGATACTCTTAAATAGAACGGATTATTTATTTTTTCTCTGTCTTTTCCCCTGCCCATTAGGAGGCCCAGAATTTGGAGACACTCTGCTTAGCTCTCCATTTTTTCCCTTGTCATCTTGGACAACTCTATAAACTCTATGGATTAGTTGTTTCTTCTGCTTAAGAGGAATGTGAGACTAATGGGAGCATTAGGAGGTGGGCTGAATCCTTGGCCTGAAGGGATCTGTGCACACAGAATTTATGACAAAAAGCCTGATTTAAGATCTGCAATGGTGACATCTCCTAAATCAGTGAGAATTGTCAGGTTTGGATTAGCCCCATCAGGTGTTTTGGCCCTGTGAACAGTGGCAAACAAAAGCAGAAGTTTTACTTCAAAATGGCATTAATGGCCTTCAGATCCATGAAATGGGGATTAGATCCAGTGATGGCATCTTGATGGTGGATGAAGTCAGGTCAGAGTGATTGAAACCACAGATAACAAAGCCCCACCTGAGAATAATCCACTGGGAAGGGGGAAAGGGGGGAAGGAGAAGACAGAATCTCCCCACAATCCTAAACTGAATAAACCAAACTGTAACACAATTTCGCAAGATTGTTGGTGTGAGCCATATGCAGTGACACGTGTGTGAGGGACTCCATTTTGTGAATCTGAGTGTTGAGGTAAGGCAGAGGTGACGCCTGTGTTTGGGAAATAAATAGCACCACTAGTAACTTTCTCTTTAAAGTTTCTGAAGAGGAGGGAGGCGTGTCAGTCCCTATTAGAAAGTATCCTATTTTGGACGCTGATAATAGCATTTGTAAGATAATGAGAACAGGCTCATCTTCTCTAAGCCCCATGTCACTGGATAGAAGGTGGCAGGAAAATTCTTCTGAAGAGAAAAAGCAGAATTTGTAAGATGGGATGAAATTTGAGGATTGCCCTCAGAACAGCCTGAACTCTTATTAACGCAGGGTGCCTCCCTGGAAAGGAAAGGAGAAGGATCCTGCTATGCCAGCAGAGATAAAAACCTAAATAGTTATGTAAACAATTACATGACAATTATTTTTAATGAGTTGTAATAGAACTAATGTTAGTGATTAAATCTGGTGGGATTTTTAGTACTTACTAGAGATATAACCATTGTAATGATATTCTTCATAGGTTCTTTTGTTCCTCTAATAATTGTTATTCATTTTAGTAAAATTAAATTTAAACAGGGAATTCTTCATATGTGTATTTATGTATACACAATGGTTGCTATAAATTAGTAAGAAAAATAGTTTTCTTTATTAAAGTACATGAAAAGTTAAAATGTTTTCCATGATGCATAGATCAATGGACAGTAACTTTGGTCATTGTAGACGCCCCAAGAGAAATTTTTTTATTCTCTGTCATGTACAAAAATATTATCCAAATTTAACCTTTTACTTATAAATCTCCATACTAATTTATTCTTTTTTTTTTCTCCTTTGCTTTAAATAAGCAATGTAATCTGCAAGACAGAATTTATCTTTTAATTTATCCCAGGTTCTCAACCAGTGCAC